AGCAGAGCTCAGTCTGAAAACTAAGCTCTCAATATTCAAGTTGATCTTTATCCCCGTACTTACCTACGGTCATGAATCGTGGACTATCACGGAAAAACTTCGAACCCGGGTACAAGCTGCTGAAATGGGCTTTCTTAGACGAGTTCCTGGCCTTACGCGTCTCAACATGGTCCGGAACAGTGACATCCGGTAGAGCCTTGGTATACAGCCCTTGCTTCTCCAGACTGACAAGTCACAGCTGCAATAGATCGACCATTTTTTGCGAATGCCTCCAGAAAGGATGGTTAAGCTAGTCTTTCTTGCGAATCCGACCTGTAGTGGGCTCGAGGGTGGTGCAAACATATGGTAGGAGTTTGTTCCAAACTCCAGTTGTCCTTGACCGAAGCTCAGCCTTTAGCATAGGATCGGGAACGTTGGAAGCTTTGTCTGACGCGTCTGCCTCCGTGAGCCGAAATTAGAATCGACGATGGAAAATGAAGATGATGGTCAACGCAGTTTGAAATTACATCGCAAATAGGTAGTTGAAGAGTTTTTAATTTTTTGATTTTCATTGCATAATGCGCAGGTTGCTTTTTACGTTAACTGGACTTTTTCGTATAGATAAGGCCTACGTTGTCGATGGGAAAACACAGTAATTTGACAGACATTTTAATATTGTACTCATCACGACCGATTCGACAGTTATTGATATATAAATAATGAATATCGTGATGGATGATTAATGAAATCTTAGAAATTCATTATTTTGACATAACTTTCACATTGCGTTCACGGAGAGCTTCTCATCAATATATAACTTTCTGGATTGGATTTTGCAGTTGATCGAGACGAACGCTGACCATTGATATAGAACTGCACAGGATTGCACGTTGATAACGACTATTGATCGGCGCAGAAACGGCTACGTCGAATCATCATAGACTGCCGAAAAATGGGTAGTAAGTTAGTGATTAGAGAAAAATGGGAACAATGTAGCATGCTTGCCTCGTCATGCACTAATGGAAAAGGTGTACGACTATGCTGTCGAATGCGAGTGCTCCCTCTGGCTGCATGTCGCCACGACCGCCAGATACCTGATTATGCGGTGTAATAACCAGCAAAAGGTGTAACCCGATTTCGATTATTTCGCTTGTATTTTCATGAATGTAAGCATTCCCTATCATGTACGACGGCTTTGCACGTTTATTCACAAGCTGCTGCATAATTCTTGTTAACCCAATGTTCTTTCCCACGCTGGTACTGCTTCACTCCGTTTTCCCAGCCTCGTGCTACGACGTCGTTGCCAGTAAGATGCCTCAGCAACGAATATGCACTTAACTTTTGAAACAACAGACTGGTCATTTTTCGAACAATCTAACTTTCATCATTGAATTAATGTGACAATTGCACGTCGGTTTCGTATGCAATAAGTTTTGGCAGCTTCCAAAATGCTCTTAAACTAGCAGTGCATCTCTTCGAGGATTATTATTTGCCTTCGTCGAAGAAAAGAAAAGCCGCACAAATGACAGCACTTCGCTGCATTTTGTAAACTTTGGACATTGATTAAAGCTGATGTCAAGAGTTTCAATAAAGCCATTGCTGTTTTCCGTTCCCACGTCAAACAGCTTTAAAACAGCATTAAACGACTGTGCAGATTCACTTCGTTGACACCTTCTCAGTCAACTTTGAAACACTCAACAAACTCTTCCTGGGTAAAAAAAAGGCACAGTAGAATATCCTTTGACTAAGTGCATCGTGCTTTGATATTCAACTCAGAAGCTACGAAGTCCTGAATTGTTGCCGCCAACTTTATAACGAGAAACCTGCAGTCTTGAGGCCGTCTCTTCGTTTGCGCTAAAATCATGAGTCTAGGAAAGTCTCGAAAATCTACTTTCAAACCTACCATTTTCACCTCCCTGAAGTAACTATTGATTCTTGGAAATTTGCCAGTATTGTCTCTCTGGCGAAGAACAAACTTGATTTAGAAAACCAGCTAATTCTATCCTATAACCATTCCTTTCATTTTTTAAAATCCTTCCAACTACTTATTCGTCCATACCTGGAGAAAGTAATGATTACTACACTTGAGTCATTCCAATAAACATGCAGGAAATATTAAGGAATATCAGATGTCTTTGTCAGTTGCGCTGACACTGTCGCGGAGAACTATGACAAAAAATTATCAGCTCTAACTTTGATTCCAGACTTGAATTCTGCATTTAACACGATTTCGCGATCAAAGCACTAGAATAAATTGGTTACAATTAAATGGAAGCATAATTTGCTAGCCTGGCAATTATTTTACCAACAAAGAACAATATGCAGCTATTGTGTCTCACTAATCAACTCAGAAATACAACGTTTCTGGTGCGCAGTAAGTTGCCGTTTTATCACCTCTTCAAGAGTGCGTAATGTATGCTCATTTTACATGTGAAACTGATTACTCACATGCTTCCCTTGTCTTTTTAAAACTTTTTATTTGTGTTCTGCTTCGGCATTCAAGTTAATAGCATGCAATGGCTGCTTCATTTTGAAGTTCTTGGCAAAGAACTTGTACAGCGCATCCTAAAATCTTGCCTGTGCTTAGGAACTGGTATTCTCTTTAACAGCAGTCACCGGTTTCATTCAGATGTACTGCATCGTCTTTCATAGCTTTACGTCCTGGCATGAGAATAAAACGGTGAACGCCTGCAGACGCAACTGAAACGTGATTTAGTTTCTGTCATCTTTTGTATGGGGAAAAACCCGCCTTGGCTTGCTAATAGATAGAAATCGCAGCTCGTTAATTGTTTATTACGTAACATGCACTTGTGCGTTCTGTTTTTAATGTGCATTTGTGCTGAATGATGTCACTATCCTGCATAAAATCACGCACTTAAACGCATTCAATTGATTCATTTAAAGACTGTGTTGTAGTCCCGCTAAATAGCAAGTTCTCTGTAACTTTGTTCGCCGCTCCGGCTGAATGCTTTCAATTTTTTATTTTTATAAAGCCCGTGTGCTGTCGCATGTCATACGGAAATTCCCATCAATTTTGACACAACTTCTTTCTTTGTACAATTTAGTACTGTATCTTATGCTTAGGTTCGTTTAAGATCGTCTCATAGTCATGTTGCGAGATCTGCGGCCACTGTGATAATGAATTATCGGTTTTGGATTGGATTCCCGCTATGTTGATAAGTCTAGCGATCCGTCTGCTCGCTAACACTTTTGATTTTGTTTTATTCATGAAATATTATGTGATTTAGTGTCATTTCTATTTGTATGAATTTTAGGCGGTCGATAAAATGTCTGACTTCAATGAAAGTCTTGAATCGCCAGAAATATTTACCATGAAGTACTGCACGTGAGTTACTGCCAGTTGTTGAATGTGTTTCGCAGTTTAGCCAGTGAAGTGTTATAGATGGTTCGAATACTCTCTCGATAAGCTTAGAAACAGCCCGAACTCTGGACTTAACGATGTCGAATTTCAGGATAAAGTTGACGAGCTCAAGGTGTCTTTGCAGCACACCTGTTTGCTGATGTCACTGAAATTGGAAAGCAAGGAAATTTGCATGGTACTGTTTTTCTTTCCGGATTTATATGATTTTTGCGAAGGCTGTGTGTCTAATAAAAGCGCATTATATCGTGTATTAGTGCATCTATAAATACTTTTAAAAATTAGATGTGCAGTGTTCACATAAATGTGATTCGAAATATCGGCTGCATAAAAATTTATTCGAATTGCAGTTTCCAAAAGTTTTAAAATACCGTAAAATCTGTTTATTTCACATAGTATTTGCGATAAGAGTTAACTGATAATCCATATAAGATGTTTCGACTGTTTCAAATACCATATTTAGAATACGATGGGTGGTAGTCGTGTTTGCCGCTGGTGGTTACAGCAGATGTTATTTGAGCCGAAAGGGCTTGCTGCTGAAATTGCGACATTAGCTGCAGCCAAGAACTTATGCCAAGAACCAATAATCTTATTTTTGAGGAAGGCTTGTGAGATAGAGATCGAAATGTCAGTAGTGGTTTATCACCATTGGAAAACATTGATTTCATCAAACAGTTTCTGTGTTCTTTGTGATACAAGTAGATAAACAAATTGACCACTTTTTCCTTAATAAGTTTGCTCTTCTGTTTGCAGAGAGGACCATCAGGTATTGTTCGTTGCCCGTGAAGTATAGATTTCCACATTACTTGGAGTACACAAAAATATACACCGTTATTATCAGTTTACTAGCAACTACTAGTTTACGATACCACCGGTAAGAAAATACTCTGTTAATTCGGATTTACATGGCGTTGGCGCACAATCGGCAGTACAGAGAACTAGCAGTTCATTAGCAAACATATCGGTGTTCATTTTTATATATAAATATGCTTACGGATAGCGGCATTTCCGCTGGTGTCCCAACAGGTTTTTCTTCGACCCTGTACAATGATATGGTTATGCATCTGTGCACTGCAGGTGTTAAAATATCACGTAGCCGTTGTCTGCTTGAACGGTCCTCTGGAGTATTGGAAACCTAAAAAATAAGGCGTTGGTGCGCCTGCGCCATATAAATCCGGAGAATTACCAGACTTTTACCCGAAGTACAGATTTCGCATTCATGTCTGGCCCACTGATCAGTCCATGTCTTTCACTGAAGTTTACTGTATATTCGGGAAGTTCTTTCTATGCTCAGCTCATTCTAGTAATATGTCAGGAGGAAGCAGGTATATAAATAATCGATATAAATCGATCCAA